ACACACACACACACACACACACACACACACATATATATATATATATATAATATGCACGCAAAATTGATAAATATATGTACTTTTAAGTAGAGTCGTGACGCATTGAAAAGCACAAAAAAATTTATCTTTTCCATTGCAGTGTCTGCAAGTCCGAGGAGAGAACCTAGACATATATGCCTACGTACTCGCGAAGAAGATTGTTTGGTCGACGGTATTCAGTATTCTGCAACAGCACACCACTCATGAAACGTTCGCAAGACAATGACCATACTTTGGTCGTAACATAGCTAACTAAACACCGTATAGTCTCTTGTATCTAGAGTATTGAACACATGTACATCCCATGCACGCGCGCACATGCAAGTATACACATCGCTATATGCACACAATTTTGCTTGGCCTATTTGCGAGATGCATGATTGCCTCTGCCTATGAAATATGAAATCAAATAGGCATTGAGACGGGCACGCGCGATCTGTATGTTCGCGTTGAATGATCTCAGTTCGTACACCGACTGTTCGGATTATGCATTTGGCACCGTGGATAGAAGTGTATCTCAATCGAACACACAATAACTCAGCACGCCAAAAAGATTCACCTGACCCGCCGAAGAGATTGTGTTGTTCTGTTAATGTCGTGCATACGATTGGTAAGAGTGCACACTGTACACTGAACACTCTATACACGTGATACTTAGTATTTGCACATCATGTAACGGTGAGTTTACACGTAAGCTTTACAGCACACTGCATACTGAACACTTTACACACGTATTACTTAGTATTTATTTACTCGTCAGTTAAACGGGGTGTTTATTTACATTTAAAAAAAGCCTTTACATACATTACAGAAACCCTAAAGCCAAGACGATTACTTGATCCTGATATCAGCTATAATCAGCTCTATATTTTTATATAATAATACGTACAGTATGAAAAGAATGGCGTATTTGGAAAAGTAGACTATGTATCTAGCCTTTGTTGTTGAATATATAGATATCTGTGTAGGCGTCCAGTAATGTGTACTTAATCCATGGATGTGGTGGTAGATACGTATATGTTCAATAGCACATCAATGTGTAGACTCATAGGGTGATCAAGAGTTTAGTACATATATAAAAAATATGTACCAGTGTTAATCCGCATGTACCTGTGCATATCTGCTTTGGACTTAATGAATCCAAAGGCGCATTAAAAGGAAATCAAGATCTATATAGATGTACTTAGATAAAATACACATCTCTACCAAAGAGTTCTCAGGCATACACCAATATCTACATAGATAAGCATTTGATCATATGCATCTCTATAGACAGTTTATAAACACACGCAAGGATATCGGTATAGTTATTTACGTCGATAAACAAGCACCATGTGGCAGCAAAACCAAAGTGTTGGCGGCAAAGACCGTCAGGCGTTCATTAAACAAGCAGCAGCTGACAGAGAGAGTCGTCAGAGGGCACGCGATGAGAAAGCGAAACAGGAGATGGAGCTGAAGGCTGTGTTGGTAGTACAGCGATTTGCGCGTCTATCTATTGCCGAGTTACGAGCGAAGAAGAAAGCCGCAAATGCGTTGGATGCATTGGTTAGTAGCGCACCAGGTATGCGTGTGGGACTATGGGTTGTGAGTGTGAGGTGTATATATGGACGGATATGTGTTTATAATATATTGCAGCGATTTACACGGTTAGTTACGTGTGGGTGGATGTTGTGATGAGTGCGGTACCAGGTATGCGTGCGGGACTATGGGTTGTGGGTGTGAGGTGTATATATCGACGGATATGTATTTATAAGGTATTGCAAAGGTCTGTACGTTCAGTTATCGTTAAGGTACGGGCGAAAAAGGAATTCGCATATACATTAGAGGCGTTGATTAGTGCGGGGCCAGGCATACATCTGGGGTGTGTGAACGTCTGATGCGCTTTCTGAAAGATATATGGGTATGGCATGAGCTGTTTCTGGAATGGGTAACTAAGGATCCCGCACATTTGTTGTGTTACAACACGCTTGCTGATTGTGGCTCATGTTTCGGTAGTCAAGCTGGTGACCTCACTGTATTGCACCTACGTATACACTTTACGTACTCGTCTCTACGTACTGGCTTGCTGGGGCAATGAGGAAACGTGCGTACGGCTTTAATCAGGTGGTGTTTCAGAATAGAGCATCCAATTAGTTGTTTATGTGAAGCATGAACAAGTGTAATCGTTGAGATTGAATGTACGTTTGCTTAGACGGTCGTGAACAGCTGTGTGAAAGCGTATACGGTGAAATCCGGTATGTATTTTTATTCCGCCGGGTTTAAGTACGTACATGTCAGTGCGTACAAATATTCATATCACCTCAAATATGCAGGACGTTTCAATATCTGATTTAATATATATATTAATTGTCACATATATACTGGTTTAACGTATATACTGGCTATATCATACATACTGGTTCATATATACCGGCTATCGCATATATACTGGTTTAACATACATACCAGCTATAACATATATATTGGTATAGCATATATATACTATATAATGGTATAGCATTACATACTGTCTATACTGGAATAACATACATACTGGATATATCATATATTCTGGGATAATATATATACTAGCTATAACATATAGAATGTATGCTAGTTTAACATATAAACTGTTAATATCATATACTCTAAAGAACGATGCACGTCCATACCTTATTGGCTCGCAAATCTATCAGTGCATAATCGCAAATCTATCAGTGCATAAGCTATTGTTACGAAAAAGCCCGTTGTGTATTGATTGTTCTTGCGCACTTCCTATGGCTGTACTTGTAATCGCACGCAAGTCTATCAGTGTACAAGCTATCACCTTGTTGTGCATTGGTTGTTCTTGCGCACGTCCTATGACTGTACTTGCAATCTCACGCAAGTCTATCAGTGCCAATTATTTTCCTGTTCGTTGATTGTTCACGGGCACTCCCAGTAATGGCTGTCCTTACAATAGTACGCAAATTCACCTGTACACAACTGATGGTTCACAGCTTGTCACCCATTGCCCTCAGCACATTCGTGGGGGTTGTGTTTGAATTCAATATGGCATTAATTTAGTTGCCGAACGAATGTGAGTAATTCCAGGGTGTTTGGGTTGATCTATAAAATGTGCAGTGACACAAGGATAGTCGGGGTAATCTAAAGCTTCAATTTAGAAAGCATGTAGAGCGACATCAGGGTATTCGGTTTAATCGATTTAAACGTCAAGTGGTATCAGGGTATTCGATTTAAAATCTATAGCTTCAATTTATAAAACGTGTATTGAAGTCAGGCTATACAGAGCAATTTATAGCTTCGATGTATATAACGTCTTCTGAGCGTACGAATATGGCTAATTTGTGGTGGTTTGTGGTTTATACCTCTATTTATTGGTTCCAGAAATCTTCTACCGGGAGGGCATGATTAAATTTGCCTCGTCCCCAACCATGTGAGAAACTTCGTCATATTTTCTTGTCGTGCTTTTTGTACAGCGCAAACTGGGTATCTCGATCTAAATTTTCCAATAACTAAAAGTGCCTTGTAAAACTGCGCTACTTTGATAGATAGATTCGCAAGCCAAAGATCCGCTGCCAGGGTAGCACACTAAACTCGCCTTATCACAAACCGAGTACCTTATTCCGTCGCATGCCCTTGGTTGGCTACCCATACAGTGTAAACTACGGTCCCACCACTGAAGAAAAGGTGCTCTCCGGAACATTTTTAACTCACCGCTGCGCATTCGGTCGGCATAGCAAGCTTACTTTATTACCCACAGAGCAGGCTGTTTCACCACATGCCTCTTTTTCGACTATTCGTGCAGTACAAAAATAACAAACTCAACTCAAATTAAATTGCTCTCAGAAATTCGCCACAGTGGTCGTTGCGAGTTGGCTAGTCACCAACCGATATACTTTCTCAATCAAATGTCTTTCATTTGGCTATTCATACAGTGCAAACGCCGGTCCCAATACCAAAAAGAGATGCCACCAAACCCACTTCAGAATCCACCACTAAAATTCCGGACAAAACAGTATCAGAATTTGGGTCTCAGTCGGTGACGGATGTCAGTGCGAAGGACCTGTATGACGCCATCCACACATACCTACAAATGGTAGCGCAACGCTCAGCGAGGTAAATTTGAGTTTGTGTAATGATATGTACAATCCTGTGATCATGGACAGCTGGGCATGATGGTTTTATACCTGATGGTTATTAATTTTTTTTTCTGGGTCCGGCAACTGTCTTCATAGAACAAAAGATAGTCTCAGATCGACCTGTAGGGAATTTTAGCTGACATTTCATTAAACTTAGCGTGTCGCCTGGAATATTATACAGCCAAGTTTCACATGAGGTCATATTAGTGCCACTCCTGTGGGCATGCGTACGTCGAATGGCGTCCAAAGTGTACACGTGTGCCGCTCAGTTTATGGACGGATGTATACGAGAAGCATACATATTGTCAAAAGGTCAAAGTGTCAAGTGTTAAATTAACGTGGCCAAGCAAAGCGGAATGGCGTACGGGTGACTGATGTCCTCCTGATTGGCATCCTTTAAGTATACGTACATCTCACTTCTGGCTGCCTCGTTGTATAGAAAAGAACCCTCAACCCTAACGTTGAAACCTAAACCCTAGACTTGGATTCAATGTGCGATTATCATTATATCATATTGGTGCATTTTACCAGACAGTTGTGTATTGTTCTGTTATATATCTGCGTCAAACCTTGGCCACGTCCACGGGAGGCAGTTGTTCACTGTCTCTTGGCTTTACACTTTTACGTATGCGTATAGCATTCTGAAGTATAGCTTATGTATACAATACCATTTTCATTCTCAGAATATATTGTGGGTGTGCCAACTTCTTTGTTCCTTGGAGAGTCGTTGGGACTAAGTGTCGCCTTCCACGCAGAAATGGCCATAATAGCGTAACCAGAAACCACTAGGTGCTGTCAACTGAGCTATCAGCGGTATATAAATATAAACATATATTTATACATTTCTGTGTCTGCATATGTATATGTATGCCTTTCTATGTATACATGTAGTATCCAGCTGTAGGAACTCATTCATACGTGAAAGGTTCACTCAGCGAATAGAATTTATCTGCTAACCACACCCCCTGCTTGTGTGTGTTGCAAGGCGTAAAAAGGCTATGAATGTCAGGTCTGAAGAGCAGAATGAGGAAGAGCAGAATGAGAAACTCCGCTTACACGGTAAGGACGCAGGTCACGCACAGTACATACAAAAAAACGAAGAAATTTCGTATAACTTCGTATAATGTAT